ACCAAGTGTCTGAAGAGAAACGACGCAGGCCTCCACGGGGGCTAGAATCTGAGGGCAGGCCGGCACCTCTGGCGTCACCGGCTGATGTCCCTGCTAGAGTCCCACAGCTTTGTGCTCGGCTCCATCTCCAAGAGGTCGAAGAAGGGGTGCTTGAGGGCTTCGGCCAGGGTGATGCGCTTGGACGGCTCGTACTCCAGCATGCTCTCGATGAGGTCAAAGAGGCGGTGATGGTCCTCGGCCTCGGAGGTGAGGTATCGCTGGGGGGATGGAGGGAAGAGGTCAGGGCCCAGCGCCCCATCCCGTCACGGGGCCTTCCCTGGGCTGAACGGCTACGCTGGGGGAAGGCTGGTTTGTTGAGACCCTCGCTCATCCTGCACCTGAACTCGGGGCTGCTTTACCAAGCACGAACTGCTGAATTTTCACACCCCCCCCACCCATCTTTCCCAGGCACTCCCTGAGGTCTCCGTGCCCTCCTTCTCCTCCGCATTCGCATTAAGCTCAGCTTGATGCAGTCTTCCCAGTTTATGTCTGGGACAGCCAAGGCTCCTTCGGGAATGCACTGGTCTGACCCTTTCGGTGGCCCAACTCTCCCCACAGAAAGAATCTTCACCACTGGGCCAGGCACTACAAGACTCTGCAATGAGAAAAGGATAAAGCGCCCGGGTGCTGCGCCCACCCCGCCTTACCCGCAGCGGCTTGCAGGTTTCCCCAACGTAGGGGGCGGCCGCGGGGGTCTCCCCCGCGCCGCGCCAGCCCTGGCAGCGCCCGCTGCTCGGGACGCGGCAGCAGCCCGTGGGTCAGCAGGCAGCTCCAGAGCTTGACCCCTCCGAGAGAAGGGGCTACACGGGAAGCAGGAGAGAGCTGGGAAGCCTGCGGTGCCCAGCCGGCCTGGCTCACCTCGTCTTCCGGATCATCCGAGACGGAATCGGCCCCAAGATCCTCTCCATCATGGCCAGGTGCTCCCGGTTGTCATGTGTCTGAGGGAGAGAAACGTCAAGGGAAGGCATGGAACAGATTCCAGCCGTTCCACCTCCAGCCCTGGGTGTTCCCCAGCTCAGAACCCCTTGCTGGGCGACACCTCGGTCGTCTCTACAAGGCTGCAGTGATGGAGGGAACCCCATCCGTCCCAGAGGCTCCTGGCTGTACTGGGCAACAGCCGGGATCCTCGCTCCCCGGTTGGGAGGCAGCCGTACAGCACACGGTTCTCACCTGGAACAGGGTGAAACCCACATAATACTCAAAGATGATGCAGCCAATGCTCCACACATCACAGGGCTGGCTCCAGCCAAGCTCTAAAAAACAACGTTTTTTAAATAAAAGATCCAGTTGTGGCCTAAGATTCCAAATCCCTCTCCCTCGCCCTTTTAAAAACAAACGAAAACCAGACAACTGGAAGAATAATTCCCACTCCAGCCAGGCTCCCACACGCTGGTGGGAACACGCTGCCCAGCTGGCAGCAATGCCAAAACACCAACTTGTAAGTTGTTGACCCTCCCAGAAAACGGAGAGTAGAGCACGTTAAATAAAGCACATCTCATCTCTCGGGGTAAACCCAGGGCAGCTGCTGAGCGACGCGGGGGGCAACGGGCTCCTCAATCCGGCAGGCAGCCCCCAGCCCCCAGCCTGCCTCCGCAGAAAGACCAAGCGGCACCTACCCAGTATGACTTCCGGGGCCCGGTAATGCCTGGTGGAGACGATGGTGCTGTGGTGCTCGTGATCAAACGTGGCGCTGCCGAAGTCCACCACTCGGATGGCCGTGCTCTTCACGCTCCGCTCGTCCCGCTTCTTCGCGAGGGAGAACGGCACCGGTTACTCAGGAGTTCCGCCATGCAGGCTCAGCCCTTGCCTCCCACAGCCGAGGCTGCGCCGCGGGAGGGGAAGGCTTCGGAGGGTACGTTAGCGCCGGCACAGCCCCCAGACCCTGACCATCGCGCAGCCGAGCCCGCGGTCCCTACGCCTTCCTCACGGACTACACGGGCCGTTCACGCAGGACATCGGCCCTGAGCAAGTGCACGAACGCTGCTGCTCAACCCTGTGTCTCCCAGGGCCACGTTCCGACACCTCCCACCCGCCAATAAGGCCAGAGACGCCAAGAACCTAAGAGCAAACCTCTCACACGAGGCAGCGCCGTTACCTTTTCCAGGTTGTAGGAGAGCTCGTAGTCAGAGTTCACGAAGAGGATGTTCTCCGGCTTGAGGTCAGTGTGCGTGAGTTTATTGTCATGCAGAACTGCGGAGGCAAACAGAGTCGGGGTGACGGAACAGAAACCGAGCGAGGCCGCACCCGCCCGGAGCGCGAGCATAGTTAATTCAGTCTGCTCACACCGGCACCCGTTTAGCCCGCGCTTAAGAACTGGGTGTGAACAGCCAGGCCAGTCCAAGCCAGGATCG